GGTACTAATTGGTCGTCGTTGTCGTCGTCTTGGTATATTATTCCGACGCGACAGTGTTGTTGCGAACCGATTACGCGCGGTTTAGAAATCGTCTCTCGAAATATCACTTTTTTAATCAATTTTTATTACGTACTCGTCGTTTTCATAGAATTTCATCTATCGATTCCCGCGAAAAAACCTATAAAAACCGATACATATTTTGCGACCGCGCGTGGTTCCGTATGCGAACAGACCCTATCCCCGAGTCCGGTTCAGGCCGAAACGTAAACCGAAACGTCAATTTTAAAAGTTCCAGGAAATTTTCCGAGGTTTTAGAAGCTTTGCAAATCATAATCTGTATACTTGTTGGTCAACACCCGGTACCGCTCCAAGGAAGTTAACGTCCTGTGACAGGACGATTATTATATAGAACACTAACTCATAGGACTCCTATAAGTATAAACCTAAAACCTATTACAGACGACGAAAATCCACAGCGGGTTTAGATGAAGCAGAGAGGAAATGTAAACATCTATCTGTTGGTACCATCCAGATCCACACCTCCGTGATTATGCCTCTGGTGCACACGTTGCATACAAGGGTTCGATAAATGTATATTATATCCGTTTAGTTTGTCCGGTTTGTTTGCATACACTTATTACGGTACATCAATCACTTTCTCACTGTTAAATCTACACGGACAAAAAAAACGCAGATACCTATATTTCATGGTGTTTATAAGTGTTACCTATACGTTTTTAGTTTACACGCGGGCGCCACTTTTCCGACGTGAAATATAATAATAATAATATGTGTAACTCGAAAACGTTACTATTTGCTCCGCGTGCGTGTTTATTTTAATCGCCATCACCGTTCAAAGTAGAAAAAAAAAAATCACCGTGCATCTCATCGGTGAGACTTTTTGATAACTAAGTATTAACGTTTCCCGCGGAAAATATTATACCGTATAATTTACATTTGTTGAACCCGAATACGCACATCAGACGCTGTAGCTTATATCAACAATCTTATTTTACGAGCAATAATTATATTATCGTCGGCCAAAAACGCGGTTTTTTTTTTTCTTTCTTTTAAATGGCACACTGCAAGAACTGGCTTTTTTGACGTTTTGACAGCTACCGTGCAGCGTATAAAATTCGTACGACGGATGCGTATAATGATAATAATAATACGGTAAACAGAAGACATTTCCACCGGATTGACGACGACGGCGTGTACAGACGTTTTATTAAACGGCACGATAAGTATTAGGTACCTACACTTTACGCTCGTGTTAAAATAATAAACGCAACAGCGGTTTTTTTCGAAACACAACTGTCTGCGCTCACGTTTTTAGGAAGTCTGGTGATAACGATCGACGATAATCACAGAGACTACAGAGTATAAAATTTGACTATAAAATAAACGTTTATATTTTGTCGGAGGTATGTGCAAATATTACAGGTACACGACTGCACGATTCGCAAAATATAAGAAGCTGCACGTGTAAAACCGCGACCGTGAAACTTTGAACGGAATTTCATAAGGATGATGCGGAGTTTTCTAGTGGTAGTAGGTGAACCGGCGAAATAGCCGAATCGAAGTGAATGATACCATTATAACGTATACGATTCATTGGTTTGGATGACGTTCAAACCGGCGAATGGAGGAAATAACTATAATGATGAACTTCGACTTCGGTTCGAAATATAGATGTAGAGGTTATCAGTTACAGAAGTCTGATGTGGGTGGGCCATTGCGAAAGACACACCGGGAAAATGTCTTTAGACAGACCAAGGTTAAGGTGGAGAAAAAAATTAGTGTTAGAAAAAACGTTAAGACATCTGAATCAGGAACCTAATTCAGAGAACAGAGAGATAAGTTTTGTATTATGCGGTATTGTATTAAGGGCCAAAGCCAAGCAAAAGAAGAAAATAATATACATATTATTGTACTCGTACGTTTAGAAATCGACGTCAATTTATTCGTTCTTAAATCGTTGCAAAAAAAAAATCACTAAAGTTATAATTTCGTCTTATAAGAGATCATGGTTTGAATTATAATTTACTACGGGCACTAGAAAAAAGTTTGGCGGATAGTTTAGTTAGTATGTATAGTATGATTACAAATACGAGTGTTTATATTGATTTAAGTTCTCGGATAACTTTACATTTACGTGTGTCTTATAAATTCCTTTGAAATATTGTATATTACTATTAAGGTACAAAATATATTTACCGCTTTTGAATTATAAAAATGACAAATTATTATTAATTTGAGACTTAATTTGTATCAATACGCAGCTATTTGTTCGAGTTTTTTTTTTCTTATAGGGAAAATAGGTCGGTACTATAGTTGTTATGCGAATAGTGATGTTCACAATGCAATTTCCGTAATAGCGCATAAAAACATAGTAATTTTATTTATATACAAATATTATACGAAATAACAATAATAAAAAATAATATCAACTGCTCTAAATCAATGTCCTATAATGTATTATGTTGGGTACCTCACGACGTTTTTATTATTATTATTATCATTTAAATTCGACGAGACATAATACTCATATTAAAACTGTAAAAAGTCCGAAAAGTCGTTTAAAATAATTGCGAAATAATTCATGAGAAAAAAAAAATTTGAAATTGTGCCCACGAAGATTTACCGACATAAGTATGATATATTAAGGATCCCGTTAAATATACCTAAAATATATTATCTAAAGATGAGTTTACACTTATTTTTTAGATTATATATTGTATATAAAGAGCTGATACTGCTAATGGGCGCGCCAATGTTGTAGGTGGGAAGTTGGTAAGATAGGGCTCATAAAGTTATTTCATTTATATCTGTAAGCAACGATAAATCATTACTAAAGAAAAACGGTTATGAGTTAAATTCGTTTATATATGATAACGGTTGAAAATTATTTTAAATTTTTCTGAAAGAAAATCTGACTGGAATGGTACCTTAAGGAGGACATTTTTTTTAAATTTGTCCAGCTGTTTTCATAATAAATGGGAAAAACGGGAAAATAGGTACAATATTAAATGATCGCCCTGGATCCGCCACTGCACGGGACAATATTGTATTCGCCGGGTTATCCTCTGATTTTATACGATTTAATATGCCTATATTGTTCGCTAGAGGTGCATTCGTGTATCTCACCGATTCGAGAGGCTGGTGCATTTATCAATAATGCTATTGACGAGTCACTTGAATAATATCTTTCAGTAAAATTTATGCGAAATTGTCTATGCCGATCGTACTTATTCGTACGGCTGCGCAAAACTCTCAACGAGCCGACGAAATTACTTTTAATGGGGCGACCGCGCGTGATTTCGCTACAATTATACGCGAATAGTGATTACCGGCGCGATTCCCTGCCGTAAATATTAATGCGCTCCATAACCGTCGACGCATCCGAAAAGCCGTGTGCTCTAATGCGGTCGTATTCGTCAAGCCGATTGTACGTCCCGGCATCGAAATACTTTCAATTTCGAGTAAGATTTGATAGTAACTTTCCCGTTCCATCGCTGTTTATTCGGCTAATTGCTCGTCCAGCTCACCTCATATTTCCATAACTTTGGCATAACCACTCCGGCCGTTATGACTATCGATCCAATTAAACCGAACGGGTTTAAAAACCGTTACGATCGTTGACAAAACGTTTCGTTTATATAATGCAAATACGTGATACAGTCTATCGGCCTTGCATTTATGTACACCGTTATACGGGTCCGAACGTGGCCCTAAAGTTTTTTGACGGGCCATTATCCGAATTCAACACGCGCGGATGGTGATTATCTACGTATGGATTATTATTATTAATTACTTTCGGCTAATTTGACATCCACTTTCGCAATTGAAATCCGGCGCTATTTAAAACCGTGGTGATTTCGGCTTGTCTTCCCGTAGCATTTTTTTTTATCGACTCTGCACCGCTTAAGAAGTCGTCCATATAAAAATCCGATGAAATAATTTCACTCGCTTACTATATTTTACATTGGTCGGCCAACCACTTTAGACGGGCGGTCGCCAAATAAGACCGTAGATAACTGTTTTTAGACAATATTATCGCCATCGGTTTCAAATCATCATCATATATTTTTTTTAATTTTCCGTCATTATCCGACACGCAAATTTGACGATACATCTTTTGAATATCCGCCGATAATGTACGTATTATATCGACGAGTCCGGAATCTGGCCAATATGCAAACTAAATCATCTTGGACTGCGGGTCCTATCAACGTTATATCGTTAAGACTGAACCTTGAACTCGTTTCGTATGAAACATCAAAGATCACACGTAACTTAGTCCTCTTCACGTACCACCGAATGATGTGGCAAGAGTGTTGTTCGCCCTTACGATGATTTTATCACGTGTCCGATTTGTGCATATTCACGCTTAAATTTGGTTTCATTGAATTCATTGCGTAATTGCATATTCTTACAAAGACGATTTTCTAAAGGAAAAAAAAAAATCGTTTTTGCGCTATTTCACGAGAATCGCCCAATTCGCTATACAATCTCTTTTCAACGACAACTCGACAATAAATCTGCCGTCTTCTTCCGGTTTCGCGGTGCATTCAAACTGCTCAATATACATCTTTTCTTCCGTACTATGAACTTTCTGATTTATCTGATTAATCCCGCTTGCTTCTGTGACGCTTCACTGACCTTTGGGATTTTCTACTCACACAATTTATCACATTCTTAATTCACTTTAAACTCAATCTTGCTTTGCTCCTCGCTGGACGTATTTTGCCAGAGTTCATCGGTTCGCCATCTTCTTGGTGATAGCTGATTGATATCGCCATCAATTTTGACTTTTTGTACAAAAGTCCATAATCTTGATACTTGACTTTTAATTGAACTGCGGTGACTCGTTGAAGTTCCTAGCTCCTAGTGTCTAGACATTTTTAATTACCCTTTTTTTGCCATTTTAAACTATATTTTATTAGTGTTTTTGAGGAATTTGGAATTCACAGAAATAATATAAGGAATACTTTGTTCTCTTAATTTTTCCTTATGACTTGATTTGTCTCACTGAAATATGAATATCTAAACATTCTCATCTCTGCTACACTCATTGTCTGTTCTATTTTCTGTTTACTGACCAAAATTCCGAACCATGCAACATAGTTGGCCTCACCACACTCTTGTAAAACTTACCTTTAAGTCTCATTGGAATCCTCTTGTCACATAAAACACCACATGATTCTTTCCACTTTACCCAACCACCCTTATTCTTATGTTTCACATCCTCGTTAAAGTCACTGCTTTTTTTTTTTACAATAAATCCCAGGCACATAAAACTCTCAATTTCGCTTATTATGTCACCATTTATGGTCATTAGTTGTCTTGTCTTGTTCCTCCAAACTCGTATTCAGTAATACATTACTCTGTTTTACATCTACTTATTCTTAGTACCGTTTCTTAAATTATAGTGGTTTTCTGTCTTCAAGTAATTTTTAATCTCCCATAAAATTCTAAGTAAATATTGCAAATATATTTAAAAAAATTTAAAAATCGTATCAGAAGTTCAGGAGTAAAGAGGTGGTTTGACGGTCATCCTCAATACGGTCTTATTACTCTCATATTTTGTGCAATTTTTTTTTTTACATTTATTCCCACAAAGTATACAATATTTGTTTAGCTATCTAACTGTTTTCGTCGTGATATTGCACGTACACTTAACATGTGTGTATTGTTTTTCTATATTATGGGTGTAAACAATTTTGATTTGGGTTTTCTATGGTTTGCATTAGGTGTAGTATTGCAGTCGCGCGTTTTTATCGATTATGGTTGTTGTAGATAAAATGATAATTTCCACAATTCGCTGCTACTTTTTGAAAGCCCAAATAGTTTAATGGGTATCTAATAACATGTTGATTAAATATTTTATTAGTCGATAATGATAACAACGAATACAGTTCAGTGTGTTAATGCCACGTCCAGTAAAGTTGTGTCGTATCGTCACAGCGCCGCGGATTATAGTGAATGGCAACGGGATTTATTTTTTCGAAAGATCAAGGTTATGGCCGTGTTGTAGTACGTAAAAAAAAAAAAAAAAAAATTAACTTCGCATAATTCAAAACCACCGCCGCCTTCGCACCGTATTATATAAAACCCGATATCCTCGTCGGGCGTGGTTGTTTGTGTATGGTTGAGGAACATTTAGGGGAAAAAAAGTACCCGCATAATTATTTTTAGAGCCGATGATTCGTTTATAACACTTGAATATAATTGGTGATTTCGTAATTCTATGGCATTTCGGATGGCCGGAATGAACCAAAACGGCATATAGCCGTGGCATATATAGTCGTGACTCTACACAAAATACAATAGTTATTAATATAATTTATGTAACATTTATTTAGGGCCTTGCGCCACAGTCATTTATTCGAGTTTCGGGTGTTTTAAGAAAATTTGGGTCTGTTGAGTTAATGGACATTTTTAATTACAGATAAATGTTAATTTACTCTGGGTTAATTACAGTTAATTTGGGTGTTAAAAAAATACTTCAATTTTCTTTTTCAATCAACTTGAATCAACACGAGATTTTCAATGTTAAAGTATACCTAATCAGATTTTGTTTTTAAAGTAAAAATAATAACTTTAAATCAATACTTACCATTTATCGATCGTTTTCTATTGAAAAAAGTTCCTGTTCGTTACTTATTTTGCTCAAACATAATATTTCCGTTGTAGTTATTTTCTATTAAGGTCGTATTATTCGATTTATGTATTATTGGAAAGTAAATCGACTTTTTATTCACCTAAAGTATATCTAAAACCGTGGATATGATAAGTTTCTCTTACGTTAAAATAATTTTGAACTAATCAATTGTATAGTTTTATCACAAACAATAAATTATACACTCGCATTGAGAGATAATGAGATAAACATTATCGTTGCCAGTGTTATCAATATTGATAATATCGTTATTGAAAGCGGATTTCGTGTTTCGGACCAGGTACGTGTGCCGTGTCTTGTATTCGTTAGTATCGGAGAAAAAAAGCTACACAAATAATTATTATTAATATCGTTTCGTACCTGTTCGAGTTTATTTCTATTATAATAAAACTAACGAATATCCCTATTCAACTTTTGATAATATCACACAATAGTATACATATTTATTCCTACAAAAAACTAAAACAAAAAAAAAACTACACTCGGATTAAACTGTCCAAACATAATAATATTATATAATACTTAGTATGCTTAGCATTCTAAGTTGTTTTTTTATTTTATTTATTGCTTCAACATTTTCAATTTCACCGCTGCGATAAAAATATTATTATAATTATTATGTTAATACTAATAATTGCGGCGTGACCAATAATTAAATTATCTGTTCTGAAGCATTACATATTATGATATCTTGTAGATAAAATATTAAAAGTAATAATAATAATACCCGTTATCTGAATAAGTACGTTTTTTAACGTTTAAACGTATCAAGGAAACGGATAATTTCTAATTGACTATGTTATGAAATTTGGTTATCGAGTGGACAGTGAAAAAATGAGGTTTTCAAAATAGGTCCGAAAATCGTTATAATTCCTTACCTAAATAATAATAATATGCAATTTATAAATATTACGACGATAAAGCGAAACAAATCAAAATTCTTCGTGGATGGAAGCGAATATAAAGACACGGCAAGAAAATGTAGAATGTATTTTTGGGCGTTGGTTTAATACTTGCGTTACCTTCTGATCGTAGCGAAGAATGTGTTGATTTTATTACGATCATATGCGATTTTTTTTTCCGTGATGATCAACTAAGTTCCTCAGAAATCTTGCTCCGTTCGAAAAATAACAAGACACCTTTTTTGTTGAATTTTGGATCTAATAAATGCATTAATGAGGTCTGTTTTTATTTTCCATGCAGTTTTCATAATAGTAGACAAAAATTGGAAAAAAAACGTATAGAAAAAACGATCGGATATATTATAAGGCATACCACGGCGTTGTCGATTTCGTTATTTTAAATATTTTGTTTTCTATAGGAAATTTTTTTCCAAATTTCAAGAGTAGCATCTTTTATGAAAGAAAATTTTTTCTAGTAGCAATTTGTTGAGTAAGAAATTAATTTTTTAATGTTCCGCATAGTTTCTTATAATTGGACAAAACCGGGAAGAAAACAACAAAATTTACGAAAATAGTGGTTTCATTATTGCGTCTTAGTATCAAATTTTTGGCGAAAATCTTAAATATTACGGCATTTCAAACCTTGTATAACTAAACTTCGCTCAGAATCGCATCGCATTATTAATGGTTTATCATTGCGTACATATTTAAATCTACTTTCCCGTCTACAATAGTAATGCACGCGTGTCCAGTAACAACCCTTTTTTTTTTTTGTACTTTGAAAGTTTTCGTCCATCCCTTCGCTCTTCAAGTAACCAATAGAAAACTGGACACGATATTCACGGATAAGGAGATGTTGTTTATCTTCATCGGTGCTTAATCACCTACTCTTAGCCACTCAAACAATCCAAATTTCAAACATTTCATCACAATCTCTACCTTTGCCACAAATCTTCTTGAATAAATAGTCACTTTACCTTGAGCCACCTTACCTTTTTTTCCGCGACTTCCTCCACCCGTACGCTCGTCCCGCGCCCACTGCTCTCTGTACACCCGTATTACCATAAACCGTCTCAATACCTATGCGATCATCAAAGACGCGATCCCGCACCGTCAAAGTTCCCCGGCTTCACAGTTCTGTAACAATCTTGTTCGTCGCTATAGGCATAATAATAACAAACGATTATTATTATTATTGTTGTTATTTTTTTTTTCTCTGTAAAACGGCCTGTTACGGCGTCTTCACTTGGAGAGGCCGACCAGCCTAGCTAACTACGGCTAAGTACGGGACTGGCGTGCGACGGCGCGCGAGAGAGCAATATATTATATCGATCCGACCGCGAGGAAGATGATGAGGATTCCCACAGTCGGCTCTTCCACATTACAGCGTGTAATTACGTGTAATCGGTTGTTGTTTTTTTTTTTTTTTCTTACCATCCTCCCGGTCTTCTTCCGTGCCGTACGCATGTACGTATGTATAGGCATCTATACAATAACAACGACAACTATTCATTTCGCGTTTGCAGACGCAATAATACCGGTGTCGTCCGTCGCATGCGGCGGCGTCGATTATCCGTACGATTATTACCACTACGGTCGTACGTGTGTGTTTGCCGTTTTTCCACCGTCTCTCCCCGGCAGAGCACTCGGCGCGCGCTTCTTCGGCGCGCACGCACGCAGCGACATTACCGCGCGGAAACGGCGGCGGCGGCCGCGCATGATAGAAACAACAATACGATTGTTTTGCCGAGCACGCCTCGCCGCTGCGGTACCGTCCGCGCGCGCGCGCGCGCGTACGCGCAACGAAAAATTCCGACCTCGCCGCCGCCGCCACGCATATATGTGTCGACTTTTAATTGTTTTTTTATTAAATAAAATATATATTATTGTAAAAAACGAATATAACAAGCAGAACGTGCCGCGAGTGACTAACGGCTTTGCCCGTGCACACGCGGCGTACGGGTACGCACACACGCACACGTACGGCTCCGCGGTTGACGACGCCGCCGCCGAGCCGGCCGGATATACACGTGTTTATAAGTGTTACTCGTGCAGTGATGCTGCCCCGTGTACCTTGCTATACCTCGCTGCATACACGTATACACGGTTTACAATAATACGGTGTATTATTATTGTTGGCATTGGTATTGGTATTGGTATCGGTATTATTGTGGTTGCGCGGTCGGCCGTTTATCTCTTCTGCGATACGTTGTACGTTACCCGGCAGCGGAACCATCGCTGCGGCCACTCTTTTTTTTTTTTTTCTCCGTACAATATTATTATTGCGGCGACGGCGACGCTGCCCGACTCGTAACAGCGTCTTAATTTTTCCGCTCTTTTTATTTTTCTCGAACAACCGGCCGTTTCCGCCCGAGCACATGGGAACGCATCGCCGTCCGAGCGTGCGCGCGTGCGCGTCCCCCGGACCCGTCCGAAAATTATACGAACCCGAACAGCGTACGAAACGCACGGTGCAAGAACGAGCACGTTGATGGGACGGATTCAGTTATTCCCCCTCCCCCCTCGCCCCTTGTCTATTGAGAAATACAAAAAATACAGGATCTGAATTGTTCCAAAATCGTTTCGGCCACTTCAATTCGATTCCAATGCGTGGTTACGTCGGAACTTTATCGAAATTAATCCTTGTTTTGTCATGCGAAATCGACGTCGTCGGGTAGGTCCGTGGGTTATCGCTATTCTGTCGGCATAGAAAGCGGACTGCCCGAGTCCCTACATTGGATCCGTTTACATGGC